TGCAGTTCCTGCTTCTATAACTCTCGTATATATAACCGACCTACTCGTGCGCGTTTCTTATATAGCTGATCACTTATTAATATGGCTTATTAATTATCGAATGAAGTTAGGCACTGTAGTACTGAATTCTAGTCGTGGATCTTATGAAAACAACGTTTCCTGTCAATATTCGTAACCCCACAGGCGTTCTCCACTTAAGCTCGTGTTCTTTTTTGTTGCTCACGTCCTTTTTTGGCCTGCACCTAAGAGTAGGCACGTCGTGCCAATTTTTCCAATTGAGCATGACGATTGAGCCCCATTGAAGATCTACTACGAAAAACGAGAAGCACAGTATCATCTTGTGACGAGTTTGTTTCGTTGTGTTAACGTTTTGATCAAAGAACGCGCGCTTAGCTTCGTTTGAGATGATAGGAAAATGGTCCAGGGCTTTGACTATTTCTACTTCGGAAGAGATCTTCTCTTTAGCGTTCACGTTTCCGATGCTCGTTTCGTTGGCTGCCCCAAGCTAAAATTTTGTCCATGCCAACTGGCCGAGGAAAAGCCTTTTGAAAGAGTCTTTTATACAGATACACGTCAAATATAATTCTGATACCAATATCTGCCAGCGTGTCCATTCACAGATGCGTTTCGTATACTTGAACGAAATTGGAAACACACGTGTCTGCCTTCTTGTTCAGTTGTACGACGTGTTTCAAGTACATACGTTGCATATATTTAACTGGGCTCAGATCGCAATTGGGCAAAATGCTACACTGCCTTTGAAGTCATTGGTTTCTATTAAAGTTCCATTATGGAGCACCGAACCACCTGTATCAACAATTCATTTCATTATCTACCAAATCAATCGTCAGTTAGATTATTACTCCCGATAGTGCCCGCTATCTGAATGATTGGGATGATTAGGTACGCCGTGCCTTAGTCCTTATCCATGCAGAATGCGGACAGATTTGTGATTTGTAGTGCGTCAAGCTTTCGAATAAAATGAAACAGAAGGCTGATATTGAATCAGTTGCGGAAATGATTAAGCTCCGTCAGCAAAGGCTTGAATTATAAGCAATAAAACGTTAGAGCACGATGGAATGAAATAGAAAGGAAGATTCATTGAAGATGAAGATGTGTTGTTGATAATCGATGATATTTGTTATTGCTAAGTTGTACATAATGGCAGTAAAAGATAATAAACACTGTTTGTAAAGCAGCGGGTTTGCGCTACAAATTCGATGCTTGTGAAGGATTTGCTTCATTCACCCGTATCAATTCGACGTAGTAAAAAATTGTGCTTAAATCCACAAAGCTGGCAATTTAGTTAGAGTCACCATTTCATCCACGTTTATGATACTAACTGAAAGTAACCGTTCGACCGCAGTATCTGCAATCGTGCCGCTTACGAAGGAACCCAATAAACACCAAACAATAAATAAATTGGATGTATAAGTGATTCAGAATGAAATCTGGCGCTGTAAATCAAACCGTTAACCGTGGCTCCCTCTTCTCATTTGACGTTGAAGAGTTTAACTGTGACAAATTTGCACAAGAAATGTATTATCGTTGAACTCATCTCCGTTATATATGGTGATTAGCGAGCTTTACAAAGCTCATCCTCAAATAATTTTAAACGCGCGCCAAAAGGTATAGAGGGCGGCTGCGACAGATAATCAATCCCCTGGTTACAAAAAGTAGAAGTAATTGGCTCAACGTTCGTTAACGATATATACTACGTGCCAAAACCGTCTCCATGATGGTGCACTAATAAGGTATTCGCTTATTAGATTTATAGTGTTAAACCCACGTGCCGACACACCTCAATTTGCGCTCCTAGAAGCCAACCGCAGGAAGTGATGCTTTTCGGCAGTGCCGGATGCAAAAGACAATTAAGAAATGGGCTATCTTTACATTGACTCTAAATCGCGTTCAGGGTTCCGGGTTCTCATCTTAGATGACCAAGCCATTTTTCGTAAAATAAATTTCCCAAGGTTTCGTATTCGTAATGGATAAATATAATACGTTTAAAATTATATATCTGTTTCCGTTGACGCAACAGCCTACATGGTGCTGTTGATAGATACATCCTTGAAAACGTCCTCAGTTAATCACTAATTAGTGTTCAGATGAGGTTTCGCCAGTAGAAATTATAAGCTGGATCTGTAACCACGTGTCTATTACCCACGCGCTGAATATAGCAGGAGCAAAATTTTTCTCCATGGAAATTTTCTGCGAAATGGAAGATTCTTATAATGTTTTCAACAATTTACCCGGTGCCCAACTCTGCACCTGTTTACTGCCATGAAAATGTCATGAAGAAGAACGGACACTTAAGTTTGGGCTTCACGATTTCTAGCGGAATCCATTCCCGCTCGCAAAGTCCCGTTCGACTACAATTTACTATATTTGCTAGTGAAAGATGACTACTTATTGGCCTGAAGGACTAGCGGTTTTCCAACAAGAAGCGTATGCAGTAACTGGATTAAACAACGCAAACCAATATGTCCATAGAACATTACTGTAGATATAGGGATTTGCTCGCCACAGTAACAAAGACGTCAGTTGCAAACTATATTAGTTTAGTAAAGGACGGAATCAAGGGAGATATATCTAACCCACGCAACTCGATATTTCTGAGTAGTTTACGATGGCTATTCACATCGAATCGGTTTACTTCAACCTGCTTACAACGGCCATCGCCGAGTCACGGTGGATGGATTATTATCCCTCTCTCTCCTCATAACCTGACTTCGCAACTGTCTGCTTGTGCCCCTATTCCAATCGTTACCGTCTGAGAACTGTAACGCGAAAGTACGGCGTCGCGTCTCGGATCGCTAATGTGGGAAATTCTGAACTGGAACCAGCCCCATCCACGACATACGGCAGCAAGGAAAGTTTGCCGAACAACCAAAATGCCACTGTCGAAACAAAAAAAAAAAAGAGAGAACTATGAAAAATAACTGGTTGAATTTAAAATGTAAAGAGAGAGAGAGAGAGAGAGAGAGAGAGAGAGAAAAACACACAGTAGTGCTTCCACGACGTTAACGATGGCCGGACAGCGGATTTTTGCCATTTGCTTTGTTTAAATAACCGCCGCGTTTATTGTAGCTGAAATTTTTTAGCCAGACTTCGGCATTCGCATTCCTAATCCTCTAGCGAACGTGGTGTCGCACGTTATCACGGCGAGCCTGCTGGCCAAAGATTCAACCAGCGTAAATGCCAATGTGGTTTTGCTTCCTTTTACAATTGAATCTAGTGTAAGAAGGATCGTAACGAACTAATTTACTTTTCAATCTTCGAATAAATACGTTCGTTGGTAACGGTAATCTGAGGTGTTCACTGTTAGTGATGAAGACAACGTTTTGAGGAATAGGGCTACTACGAGCTGTGTCGTGCCTAGTGTCGCAACAGTCGGCTACCCATACGTTTGGGCATGTTAATATGCATGGGTTTGTTTGAAGTAGACTGTAGTGCTCTACTTCTAGTTCCTTTTGGACCCCACCTCAGAAACGGCTTCTCTGTGCTCCAACCTGCTTGTCCTTAAAAAGATACTTAGAGTACGAACTGGTTTAACTGGATGGTGCTAATAAAATTTTGCTATTAATAATATGTAGTTATAATAGTGAAATAGGTCTCATAAAAGTGCACGTTCCTCACACAAACTCATACTCCAGTCATGTCGGTAATGTAGCTATCACAATATGTGGCTGCTGCTGGTTTCACAAATTCATATATTTGTTTTCAACGCACTAACCAAGAAAACTGTTCAGCTGTCTTTCTGACACCAAGATCCATCGTCTCACGTCGCGCTTATAAAATCCATGATTTGACAGATACCGCAACACTTATTTCCCGCTTTTTTTTTTCATAATATTCTGGTAGGATTATTATTTCCCTGCAGCCGTGCAAGCATTGGCCAATATAACCAGCCCAGAAACCCCAGCGTTCGAATACGGTGTCAAAGCGAGTGCCGTATCCGCTATCGTCTCCACAATAGCCATACTGCTACCCGAGACAGTAGCTAGCCCAACGTACAGACCGTTGTCAATGCTGTTCTTGTTATGAGACGCGCTACCTGGCGATGATGATGGTGCAGCGATCACTTCTTTGCCTATTGGGCTTAACGACATCTAATTGGATAGGTTAGGTTAGGTTGGAACCCAGACGCAAAGGCACGGCCGATTTTCCATTGGAGGAGGCCAATCGTCCGCCTGCTCAACGGAGGCAGTGGAAAACAGACGTAAGGATCGAAACGTTTATTAGTGTATTCCGTGGCTGGCGGTGGCGCCACCATCTTTACCACCACGGCCTCATCGCATGCGTGCTCATCGTATAGCAGGACACGATCCGGAATTGTTTTAGCTGCACGCATAACCGCTCTAGTGGTACCAATAGCAGCTACGACCGTATTAGTAATCGCCGTAATAGCATCATAGTAGGAGTGGGACTCGTTTTCTTCCAAAAATGGAATATTATTTCGCTTCTTGCTTCGTCACCGTCCTCTGAAATGACGACGTCGACTACATCGGTGTCGATACGTGACGTCGATCGGACGGTGGGTCGATTGGCATCACTGCAGTGGCATCATATTTGCTATGCCACCACGGTAAGAGCAACGTAGCAGGCCATCGGTGACCGTCAGTTATATCAGCTTGCTAGGAATAAATGCGTCTATACAATGTCTGTCTAACAAAACAGGTACTGCATCAAACGCTACTTTATGTACTAATTAGCATAGTTATGACTGTGCTGCGTACGATGAACATCTGACTAGTGCGTGTGTATACGCGTGTCTATTCGCATAGGTTGAATTTAAGTGTTGACGGCAACACTACACTTTTGCGCACTACACAAATTTCAGTATAGGTTTATCTAACTGAAGTTCAAGTTTGACATCGGGCAGTACGTCAGCATTAGAAGTCTGTGAAAGCGGACGTCAGGGGAGCATATCATCGATCTTTACATTTTACATATAGACACTTCGTATTGTCTTGTACCGGGTCGCGTGGTAAACATACCTTTTTCGTTTCCGTGTCTCGTGCGAGTTCCGCACTTGAATAAATGTCCAAAGTCGCTAAGTGGATTCGCGCTAGTAACAGGTGGCTTGTCCTCTTAATCCACAACACAGACAGCTCACATAAACACACAGATGGCGAGCTTCATTTTGCACTCCTAATTTCGCAGTTTCGCAGAAAAACAATACCTGATCAAGCCAAATTTGGCAGATTGATCCACACAGCACAATCGTTCAATGCGCTGTTACCGCTTAAAACCAAACAAGTCTATTGCCTGCTAACCGCTCGCTGCCGCGAGAACTGCGCGGCTGCGCCCGTCAGGGACAAAAGAGAGCTACGGTCAGCAATAGCAGCTAGCCCTGCTGACTGTTCGATTCTTAGTGGTTGGCGTGCCACCACGACCGGTCGTGATACAGAAGCAACTGCACGCCGGTCAGAATGATGGTGGTGGTGGTGGTGGCGGTGGCGGTGGCGGTGGTGGCGGCGAGCGAGCGAGCGAGCGAGCGAGCGAGCGCAGATTCGCGGCCCACGACTTCGTGGGAGAGGGGAATGGTTTCGCCAGCGGTCCCATTGGCAGCTGCGGTGCAACGAAATGTGCGGAACATACCGGTAGAGGGCGCCATCCGTACAGAGAGAGGATGCGTATGGAGACGTGAATGCAGCGCGTTCACGCATCTTCAGCTAAGCTGCTAAGGATAGATGGAAGGCCGAAAGGGGCAAACTGCTGTATGATTCTAGTCGCGGACAGATTTTGGTTCGTGTTTGGCTCGTGGGTGGTTAGATTTCGCTGAAAGCAGTGGTAGTTGATAATGTTGACAAAGCGACACTGAACGCAAAAAAATGACTAAAGCGACGGACTACGTTTCTTATAATAGAAGTGTTCTTCTTAATGCAGATAGTTCTGCTTGTAGTGTGAAGCCAGTTCTTACCAGTGTAGATATGCATGTGTCGAGCAGGTGAATCAGTCGTCTCGTGTAGATGAAAATCGGTCCTGGGCACGTCAACGCCAAAGGTTATCTTGTTTGTTTAACGACTATGTATCGTTATTTTCGCTGTACTAGCAGAAACTCAAGTGGAATTTGTGACCTAAGAAAAAAGTATTACGTTACATTTAGGGGTAGAGTGATCACGTGTAGCCAAGCATTACATTGTTCCTTGTAATAAATATTACATATTTAAAGAAAATTGTTTTTAGTGTCATTTTTGAAGCACAAGCTATACACGATATCAAAATAGTTCTCCAGCCAAAGTGTAATTGTATTTACAATGAACGGAGATAAGTGTACGAAACTCACACTAAACAAAATAGTCTTATCAAAATTTTAAGACCATGTTGAACGTCAATTGCCGATCATCCTGGTCTTTATTTTTATAGAAGCGAATAGCCCATACACCACTATGGCACGAGGTCGGCCTATCTGAAGCATGTATATTTAGCACAAAATGCCTGAAATCTGTTGCTTTCATAGTTAGATAACTCAATTATAACTTTACGTTAACATTTCACTTCAGGATAACGTGATCGATGGCTGTCAACATGACAACTAGCTAAGGTTATGGAAGAGAAATAAAGTCATAGCACGGAATTGGAATAACTTATTAAGAAAAGTTTGTGGCAATACCTTTACGTACGTACCAAATATTGTACGTCTATGCACGGGTAAATTGGCTTTTTTTTAGCAAATAGAAAAGCTGTAAATTTATACCACAAACAATTACTCCCGTAGAAGCATTGCCTCCCGATCGCCGATAAGGTTATCTTCACACTCATTGTGTGACAACATGTATGTAAGAAAAATCGTCATGACAATTTACTGGTACAGTTTGCTATTAAACCAATTCCTGTTTGGAACAATTTCGATACTAGGCTAAGTGGAAAGGGCCTGTTCGAAATCAAGCGTAGGTCAAACAAAAAAAAGGACTCCAAAATGGTATGACCTTCGATTATTGATAAATGCTTGCAGCAGAAAAAAAACAGTGACATTTATTACTTTAATCACGACTAACAAAGTGGTTCCAAATAAAAGATAGCTTTTTTTTAGTTATATTGTATTCGACCTCGGTCTCTTCGTCGTCCACTCGACACAAACGTTAGAGCAACTTTAAAAATTAGGATTAATATAAAATTAAAAACTTATTATTTAAAATTTATTAGAGTATTATCTGTTGAAAAGGACACATAGATGTTACCGTCGGCTATAGTGGTGACGTGAGTAACTAGTGTTAAACGTAAATCGTTTTAAAGTTCGACAAACAAGGGCGCTGAAACGTCAAACTTGTGGACAACTAATTACCTTGGTCAGTGGCAATTCATGAATAACTAAATATTGTAACTAGTAGTATAAAGGGTTATCGTCAGCCCGAAGATTCATATCAATAGCACTAAGACTGTCGCCAGGGCAGCCGAATCACAAACGCGAGTCCACAGTGAGATGATATTCATTCATCATTTACCGAATTGTAGTCACGCTATTGGCGAAATGCTCCAGTGAAGGCAGAGGCTTGTATACGATAGAGCGATTTCTCCGGTTGCGTCTGCTATTCGTCAACACGAAAAGCATTGCGTGTTCGCTTGAGAATACGAAACGGTTGAAAAGTTGATTCCGACAAGAGGCGGTAATTGGCCTCAAGCTTTATTAGGATCGTTGTATATTGTCAACAGTTCACGTGAGCTATTGCTAAGCCGGGCAATAACCCGGGATCGTCTTTGGAGATAATTCGTGTCTACAAGGCTACCAGTCACAACATAACTAGTTATCTGTCATGGGCGTATACGTATGTGTCTATACGAGTTTTCAAATGCGAAGCGCGAAACCTCTCTAAACTCGGAAAAAATCGCCAGTTACGTTTAGTGTACCACGGTACCTTGCCCCTAATATTTGCATAGAACAATGCGGTCAGTCTAATACGTTTCTATTGCACGGGTTTGACTTCATGGATTTTTTAAGCTTAATTTTAAATCTAATCGTTTGTACTGAAAAAAAATTCTGCTGTCGCATATCGAAGAAATATAGGCCGTTTTTCTAGCTCGATGTATTTCAGATAATATAAGCTTCGTCGGATCGACGTTGGCATCATTTGAAGGCTGAGATCTGGCAGTAATAGGTGGAAGGTTAGAATTGTCGGAGGATCTGCATTCAGACTCAAGATAGGGTGCCTTAGGACTGAATAAAATTTCTGCAAAATTTCTGTACATTTGGTAATTTTCTTACAATAAAGGCGCACATTCTGCCGGGGCCCATAAGAAATATCGCACTGTTTATGATTAGGATGTGCTAATGGGCAAATAAGAAAAATGTGAACTACGATGTAACGCCAGAAAGGGAGTGGTATGTGTTTGTTAGGATCTGAAAGCACTTCAGATTGCTGTTGTCTGGAAAAAAGATTTATTCAAACCTCCATTGTCAACTGTTGATAAGAAAGATTACACCATGCCATTAAAAAAATCGACGGAAACTAGGCGACGGAACAGAAAAGGCGTTGTTTTCTACCATGATAGTACTGGGCTACGTGCATTTTTAGCTAGCCAGCAAAAACAGGGAGAACCTGATGGAAAATTATGTTGTTGCATCCATCGAAAGGCTCGGATCTCCGCACAGCCCCCTCAACGGTGTTTATTTAGTTTCAGTGTGGAGATGTAAAAATCATTTATCAAAATTGTTGGTCCAAAAACCACAGAGGTTCCGCAGTAATGGAATCAGAGTGCCACCAGAAGAATGGCAGGTCATTTATCAAAATGGCGAGTATTTAGTTCAATAATATTATTTTAAAGTATGAAAAAAGTTGCATCAAGTTTCGCTTGCGAAACAGCCAGTGCTTTTTTAACAATTCAATACTTTATTCGAATTTCCTCATTCAGGTGAGAAGGGAAATGAAGGAGACACGATAATGTGAAGTGCTTCGTACACCTCTACTGGCCTGAACAACAATAAACGTGCGTTTTGTTATAAACAATTATACTGGTTCTGATGAAATGATCATTTTATCTGGTATTTATTAGAAATCTGAAACTAAACGTGAGCTTCCCAGAAATAAAGGCTCAGCAACATTACATATAAATACGACGGGTAGCACTGTGATTGTAGCCGTTCTAGGATCACGCAAGTATCAATACCATGAAAGAACTTATCTTGATTACATAGTAAGTGAATGATATCTTGGGCTTGAAAAGTATTGCACGATCAATGCTAATTCAAGCAAGTAACTGTAGCAGAGAGCTATGATGAATGATAAAATTAAAATTGTATTTAAATTGTTTTAAAATCGCTAACTCCAAAATATAGATATTTTGGATTTAGCGATTTTATCTACTAGTTATTTGTAACTGGTTTGCCTGGGCCTTTTTTATCGCAAGTCACTGATATACGCTCAGGCGGAATACGTCCATTGCGATGGTGATACCTCGTTGGCTCCGTAAAACAAGCGACATATTGCCTACGCCAGCTTAAGTAATTGCGCGCTCCCATGTACACACACGTTTGCAGATTCACCTGAACTAACGAAAAAATCATATAGGTCTAGACCTTTTTGGCTAGAATGCCTATTTATAAGTACCTAAGCATCAAAGTTCAACATACACTGGTCAACCGCTCCCATGCCCGAGTCCGTCATGGTTCCATGGATCCATCAAAGAAGACCTCGAAACGATATATAATGTTCATTTCAAACTGACAGTTTTCAAATCTACTTAGAAAAGCAATACCTTTAACCAAACTAAAGAAAATCATTATTGAATCTCATTCTTAATGAATAGAAGTTTTATTTTCAGCATCCCTCGAAGAGGGAGAACACTCCGCTAGATATACAGCTTTATTAACAAATAGTCTTTAGGACAGAATTTTAAATGAGTAAAGTATAGTAGAAGTACCTAAAAGCAGATCAGGTGGTCGCTCCTTCTTAAGAATATAAACGAAAAACATCTAAGATACTGGAGAAAGGGCAACATAACGGTGTATCCTACTGTTTGTCGAATTTGCTAATTAGGGATCTAGGACATATTTCCAATATAATGCTCGTCTTGTTTACGGGAATGTTCGACCTCGTCGGGTGAATTGAATAGTGCGAGAGTTCCGCTTTGATAGGAAGTTGTTGTAGGGGAACGTATTCAATTTTGTTCAAACCAAGTTTTCTACGTTTTATCGTTTGTGTAAAGTAACTGAAGTTTTCAATTAATATTCATAACGTTTATTGGTTTTCCTCTGCTTCACCTCGGCACTAGCATTTTTATAAATTGCAGCTGACACAACAACTAGTAAAACACGCTGAATTCTATGATTCTTATTACTATTATTATTAATTCACGAATAGAGGCACGGTCGAAGGAAATTGACAAAATGCTAAGCGTCGAACTAGTCAATAAAAGAGCGCATTTCGTTGGCATGTTTCTCAATACATATTCGAAATTCTTACGCCAGGATATCTGTCTTTCTTGAGATGTGATGAATAAGTAATAATAAAAACTCATTATTGTTACTGTTATTTACTATTTGTTAATTGAGAACAGGCTAGAAAGAACAAGTCTGCTAGATGGAGCTTTAATCTTTGAGTATATTGTTGGCTTGGTGCGTCGATGAATAATTTTCTAGCGGTACTACAGCCCCTAGAAGTCCTTAGCAGAACTGTATAAAAACGGTGTACGCGATACACAACTAAGCCAATAAACAGTGCAACTATATCCAGAATATCGTCTGAGCTGTCTATATACTTTGTATTGGGTCTTTCTGAAGATGATTAGCAAATTCTTCTATGGATTATCTGGCACAGGCGGATACATTACCCATATGAGCCATAATAGTGTACAAATATGCGACTACTTTTGAGATTAAAAGTGTCGTAAGAGAGAGAAGTCTCGAGAAGAATAGTCTTTCAGAGAACCCCTGCAAGGCTAAGTATTAAGTCGATGCCATGGTAAATATGTTCGTGTGGAGGTAATTACGAATTACGATCAATTTTCAATATAGAATCTAGTATTATAAGAGTATAATAAAAAGATATTGAAGTGATTGTTTTAGATAGAAGTTATACTTGAGATACGCGTCTACTTCTACGGTTACTTAGCGTACACACAGCAGTAACACATAAGATGGCGGCATCATTCGAACAACAGCATTGTTTATGTGTGACTTTTTTTATGCGTAACCCATCCCATACCAACCCGCTTCTAATAAACCTTCTAGCCCTCTTCTAATATTTTTTTTGCTTGGCCTAAAAATAAATTGTGCAGAGTTTAGCATTCCTTTATACAACTAGCTCTCTGCAACACGGAACGTAGCCTGTCTATGTCCGGACTCCAACCCATATCATCAATTTATAGCTACAAGTTAATTTAGCAGATACGCTAGAACTGAGCTATTACGAGGATATTTTTGGTCTAATCGTTCTTCTATACTATACCGTTATACAGTACGACTGTGTAGTGCATTATTATATAGGTGTGCAGGTTCGTCCAATGCAGTGCACATCTTCGTCATCGAACGGCGTCATTTAGCATGTTATTAAGCAACATCGGCATAAGCTTGAGCAGTTGCGGCATCTGTTGTAATGAGATATCAAATTTTGAAGGACGTAAGGGAAGGCTGGCGATTAGCGTAAGCTATTGACCATTGTTCAATTGTTACTGTCTCGTGCTACCTTCGACGAAACTATCTGTGTACCTGAAAATCTGAAATATCTGAAAAGGCGAGATCAATCCCTATACGCTGTCAATTCAACCTTCTCAGTAGCGGAATTTATAAATTTTCAAAAAATATGATCAGTCAGATAGTGCATTCAAAAGGCTTAAGGCTGTCAATTTTAGCTTACTAAAGCCTTTCACATATCTTTTACAAAAAGGCATAACTAGTTTGGAAGAACACCGCCAATTTACTCGAGAACACTACGCACTAATTTTTAATAGAAAATATTAAAATTTAATGGGTAGCGGTCTTGGCGGAATAAAATTTACCTATTGACGTCGTGTCCCACTTTCATCGACCTATGCAAAATAAACATCGGTATATTGAGCCCGATCATACTCAAATAAGATTACTTTAGCCGTTTGAAAAAATCAGCTACAAAATAGTACCCACGTAATTAACACAAAATTAAAAGACAATTTTTAACTGGTCAACGGCCGTACGCGTCTTATTGTGTGAATATCATACAGACATCTACAATACATGACCTTTTTTTGTATCAGCGAGCTATCCGTGTTTCTTTCTATTACTCGTCATCTACGTTCCTAAAATCACTTACCGCAAACTCTTTTACAATTTCACTTTCTATTATATAACTACTTTTTATTATTAAAGAAGAAAACAATACTGATACTGGCTCCTGATGTTATTTGCGTACCGTAGGAACCAAATAGCCAAAAAAAACAAAAAAACTTTATTATACAGGGCATGACATTTTTTAATGTAACCATGAGAGTCTACTATGATTGTAGAAACTAGGCCTCAACGAGCAACGGTACAACAGAACTCAGTGACAACAGTGAGAGTGTTCAGTGACGCTTTGTTATCGTAATCACTCTCAAAGGAGCCGTGATCTCAAAAAGATATTGGGCCTGGCTCTGCCAACGAATGATAAATAGCTCTAAGTCAATTTCAGCTAGATTCGGTGGACGCAAACACTTCTCTAAATTTAGACGATCCTTTCTTGAGGACATGTACGCTAGATATTAGTAAATTATCGAGTTTTTTCACATTGTACAATTGTCGATGTTTCCTTAAACTAATAATATACTTCTCTAATTTTCTATCAGAGGACTTGAATGTACTTATGGGTGCCGACTTTCGCACTTGTACCATATTTCCGAAAGAATGAAAAACCTATGTCCTTGTAGCACTGTCCCAATTTAGCCCTTCCAATTACCTTTGTAATATATAGTTCTAAAAAGCTTTATTTTAGGGAAACCAAACCTGTCCTTACTTCTAAGATAATCATGACTACGGGATAATGAAACATTAGTGTGTTACCTATTGTACGTTTTATGCGGCCATCATTTTCAAGCAATTTTAAAAAGTAGCGCCTTGTTCGTAGATCGCGCTTGCAGCAAGGGGAAGATTGTTTACAAACAGAGCATCACCACGGTCATGGAACGCCGGAGGCGCGCGGTGTGGACTCGCTCGTAGGAACATCTGCTTGCTCAAGTACTTCTGTTTGCATTTCGTTGGTGAGTTACGAAATGTAAAAGTACGAAAGTTAATAAGTTTCTTGGGTATTTCACAAGATCATATCTTAATAAATTTTTTTATCGGAAGATGAACTAGCTAGATATCTATAAGTCCATCCTAATGAAGTGCCAGCAAGGGAAACTTATTATAAGAAAACAAATATCGCAAAACTAATAGTTATCATCATTGTTCGTGTCACGTTGCGGAAAGCACGGAACATTAAACTATGCGTCAAATTATGTAGGTGGGTGTTATCGTTATTTGTATTGCGCATCGAATGCAATACCATATATTTTTGCACGACGTTGGTAAACTTACAGACAAACGGTTTTTAAAAGTGAGATTATTTACACCGGTTTAAATGATCAATTTGTATATCTAGGTCAAACAATTTTATACAGAATTATCTTTCTGCGAATACATTTCTGTGCGATTGCAGACGAGATGAAAAATTAGCTTTCGGATAACAAGTATATGTATTTATTATTGCAGCCCTTTAAATATAGTATGTGTCGGGCTTTTTTGTGGATGTGTGTATACTATGCTGTGAAAGACATTGATGATGGAGTATGAATAAGGCTGAAAGCTAAAGTGCATGTTTTTCTGTAATTTATATGATATGTGTATTAATTATAGACGATTCAACTAAGATGATTTGGTATGGATTAGAGTTATTTAAAAAAGATATGGAAAAAGGTGGTGATGCATAGGTGTGTACAGCACTTGGAAGCAGACTTAATTTGAATTAGTTCCTATGATAGACAAATAAAATGATATATTGATATAATATGATTTTTTTTTGGCGGGGCTTTCTATTTAGCATTTATCGTAATTTCAACAAAAATGCCGCCTTCTTTTAACAGCTAATGAATTATATTGCGAAAGACGATAAATTCCTATAGAAAACTATCCACTAAAAAAACGTCCCTAATCAAATATTTTCATCAAGTTGTTCAACTAACAGACTTCTACTAAATTTTTTTCGCTGTATTTAGCGCTCGTGCGGAGAACGAGTCTTTTTGCAAGTGTACAACAGTTGACAGGCAGCACGATGCCTTTCTTTATGACGACTACCGGTCGGAAGGTCGCGGCAGCATTAGCTGGCATCGGCGGTCTAACCACGTTTGTTGCATCCTGGCTACCGCAAACAATCTATCTCGATAAGTTAAAAAATATCGTGCAGTGCTACGAGCATGGCCTACCGCTTAGATTGAACGAAGAGCTAACAGCTAGAACGCAAAGTGTGTTAAAAGATTTCACCTCGCTGAGCGAAGCAAAAAAAGCCAGTATTCGATTTTTCCTTGTGAACCGCATAGAACCCTTTTACGCAGGAACACCGGAGTCAGGATATGGCGCAATTATCGGCCTGCCTTTCAACTTTAGGTATAAATCCGTTCATGACATAAAAGAAGCGGATGTGCGACTACCCGGCGAACAATCCATTGACTGGACGACGGGCGCTGCACGTCTGTTTAAAGAACACCTTATTTTAAGTGATGAAGCTCAACGCTTCGCTATTGCTCAGCAGATCTATCTCGCCAACACGAGCCATGTGACGGTATGTACCTTTGCTAAACATGTGTACTTGTTTTCACACAGAAAATAAAGAATCTCTCAATACAATGTGGCAGGGAGTAGGCAACAAATGTTCCTTAATATTATACATCAATGTATGCTTCATTCTTCTTACTTAAATATCATAGTTAACCCTGACTTTAAGCTACACCAGCCGATGGCCCCGATGCGCTTGTACTAGTTTTAATTTAACTCAGTAATCATTTAACTCAGTTAAAGACAGGTTTGATTATTAACGGATTGTATATGGAGAATCATATTCAAGTTTACTGTTGCCAACTATTACCGTTGTTGTTTTATATTTATATTTATGTGTATAGAATGCACGTAAAGTAAATTCAGAGGAAATTGTGGTACTTATTTGCGTTATTTTTAGTATTAGATGATAGTTAGTTATTTTTAAAACAAAACGAGAAAATCGTCATGGCGGCAGTAGAAAGTTTGTTTTACATATATTAGCAACGAATATCTATTGTTCAATGCTTTCACATAGCAAACACCACATATATGATTCAGGTCGACGGTTTATGCTGTTGCCAGTTTAGATGCTAGTTTTGATAAACTCGAAAAAAACGTCCATAGTTCAAACACAAGAAGTCATCCAAGCATATTCGGTTTATCCAAAAAAAAAACATTTTTACCACCAACGCAAAGGTCAAATAGAGATTTCTAGTTTGGCTGCTTCTTTAATAATGTTCTAGTTTAAGCCAGAGATAAATTTATGTTATGCTGTCCCGAAAAGCGTGGAAAAGAGAATATAGATAAAGACGTCGAGTTCTTCTCTTGTAAATATGAAACAATGAATTAGCACTGGATTAAACGAGGAAAATCTTACATCTTTCGGTAAGATAGAAACTTGTTGCAAAGACGTCATGAGATTCAAAATAAGCTTTCTACTAATTTGCGCCTCGAGGAAGGCAGGACTTTTTTAAATAATTACGTGACTCACGATTAAATTCTTTATACGTAACGTATTTCATTTATACCTGAGCGAATCATTCCGTGTCACCATCACCAGAGTTTCAGCCACTACAAAATTGTTTATAAATTTAATAGAAAAGATTTAAAAAATCATCCGTAAGCTATTCAGTTTTTACATCTATATCTTGATTATAAGGAATACACTATAAGTGCAATCGCTTAGCTATTTTAGAAAAAGGAAACATTATTTTTAGTCCAATTTTCCCTAGACCAGTTTAAAAAAAACAAATTCAATTTAATCGTCTGCTAATTGCAGGTAAATTCAATCGCAGCTACTGGTGCCACCGTTAACGTATACGTTCTCTCGAAGATTCTCAACAGTCGAATAGAAAGAAAAGTGCCTTTTAGTGCTCGATGTGTCGTCTACGGTTTAGTGTGTTGTTTCTGCTTTATGGGCTATCTTGCTATCACTGACATGGCTAGGTACAAGCACGAATGGGATTCGCTTGCCTACGTGATGAAGTTAGGTCCCATGTACCGTCAGGGAGCTGTTGACTACTTTGAGAGAGCTTTAGTTTGTAACAAAGCACTTCGGATTCTGGGTGGTAAGACAACCCAAAAAATGTTTACTGTGAAGGGAAATCTTAATACGTGGATACGCACGCCTCATGTGCCAATGACCGTTTGTATGGAGCGAGTCAAGCGTATAAAGAAGGAGATGGAAGGGACCTGCGAGGTTTGCGAAGAGATCAGTGGAGCGAAAGTTGCGAAAGCTGATCCAGTAGCAGATACGGGCAAAGTGTAAAAACACCCTTAGACTATTAGAAATGCTGCGAGTCATTTTTTTCAGGTGTTCAGCGTATTATTGCATGCTCGAAGATGCGAGGCAACGTGAATGAAAATGAACGTGCTAGTTGAACACACGCCTAATTAACTAATACTGATATGAAGTAATGGGACATTTCTTACAGGTAATAGTGTTATAAAGAGGCTTGTTTAGCATGAAGTGTGTTTATGTACAAATATTCAATTATTATTATTCATATTATTATAAAGTGTAGAGTATTATTAATAAACATAAGTATGCTTTACCCTTTTCCCTTATTTTTATTCATTCCCCCCCGCGTCATGCGTTGTCGTTCAATTTTTCTGCCATACATTTGAGGAGCAGAAGAAATGGAGCAGGAAGGTTAGTTACGCTTTGGCGATTAGGGAGACGATTCCTTCAAAGACGCGCGTATCCAAAAGCGAATGCCTGCTCCAACAGAGAGAACTTTCTTGTCATATGTTTAATCTGAAGCTAAATACTAAAACAAATAAGCTTTAAAGTCGAAAAACGTTGGACCGGCGGCATGTACTGCGATTGCCTGGCTTTTTACAGGTCAGTTAAATTCATTAGTAAATCCATATCTGCTGATCAAGCCAGCGCGTAAAATGTCCTTAATATTGTCCCGAGAAACTTACGATTGCGTTTATCTCGATGTGATTGATGTTCGGACCCTATAAGCAAAGTGCCGGAAGCAAACACAACTGAAACGGTTTGCGTTGAGAATGCATCACATTAATAAGAAAAACTTCGTCCTTCTACCCCAACGCATTTTCGTATGTTATTACAGCAAATCCGAAAGCAAGCGTTATTAAATGAAGAGTGATTTTGCTCGTCATTGTATGTATATCCATTCAGAGAGTTCTGTAACAATTTCCACTCTGTGCAGCATGTCTTTTTTTACAATCTTTGAAATATTCATATCTTGTGGAGTAAGCCACAACTGTCAGTATTGATTCAGTCTGAGGAGATATCCTTTATAAATGGTTTACACTTGGCCAATGTAACGGTAAACTGCCTTGAATATATATGCCCGCCAATATATGAATATATATTGAAAAACGATCTCGTTTGTTAAGGAAATAACTTTAGGCTTATCTATTATATAACCCGGAGCAAATTTGTTTTGAAAATTTGCAAAGGTCACTGAAAAAATAGAACATCTTTATTCTATATTCGTTTAATTATTAGAATACACTAAACGATTGCACTATAGAGCGGAGCTCAGTATGCAAAGCAATCATAACAGAAGCATCCTAATAATATCCCAATATTCTGATAATATTATGTCACAATGTTATAGCGAAATGGAAAGGAAACGTAATGACTAAAGATTTTCAATGGTTTTATTGACCAATATCAGAATAACACAGTTTGCGATGTAAATCGTAAATGTTAGAGTTGATGATTTTCGCGCTGCCTAAATTGACGGTTTTCATCCAATCAACGGTCAATGGTTTTAGTACAAAGACTTTTATTTCTAATGACTCACTGAAGAGAAAAGACCATTGATACGAGATCCGATGACGATGGTCGCCAATCCATTAAACGTCGGCAACCTATCCAGGAACCCACATACGATTAGTGCGTAGGGTAGCGGCGCTGTTTCTTCTGTAGGAAAAACAGAACCATGCGCCCTAGTATACATAAATACAGGTCATTTGTGTGAATTGCATTGAAGAAACAGAGCAAGTTACTCTTTTACATGAAATGACTACCTGCGCATCGAGTCCAAGCTAATGTCGCTACTTTTATATGATGAACAGCGAATTTTTTCGTAATGGGCACAGTTGTGTCAATTCATCCCATTTGAGAGTTTGAAATGGGCTTCTTTAGATACATGTAAGATATTCAAGAGATGCAAAAAGGAATTGACGATTTGTTCGATATAGTAATTAAATGATGGCTAATAGAATTTTCAAGATACAGCACTGTGATATTATGTCTTGTAATATACCTACAACCTAGTATTACAAAGATACTGGAATAGTATTAGCATGCCCATGTTACAAATGTGTTGTAAAGTTAAATTCGCCCTTTATTGAAATAATTTTATTCTTCATTGCTGTTTTGGATGTCAATTGAATACCTTCCAGCTGTCAAGTGATTTTTGCGAACAGTCGAAAGAAATTTTAAAGTTTTCGAATGATTTTTGCCCCATGACCTATTCCCTTCTGCTAGTTGGCAAATCAGTTGCCCAAAAATTAGCGCTTAGACTTATTTATTTTAGTTTCCGCGGAAAGGGATAATGCTACGCTTCGATGTGATATCAAGCAAAATGCTTGTCGTGTTTGCCAGTTGGATTCTCCAAATCCACTCGATTTGCCCATACTCTATTAAAAAAAACACGAAGCAGCCCAACGTTACTTGGTCTACGCGACTGTTCTGAGATCTTCACCATTCGTCCACCATGCCGTCACAACCTTTTCCTGCGTCGTCATTGTACCCCTTCACCAGCTCTTGCGGAAAATAAAACGAGCTGTCAAATGGGTCTCTATCGCTACCGCCGGCAAGGGATGACACCGTGTAGGGGGGCAGCATGCAAGGACACGTGCAGAATGACATCACGATCATTCCACACCGAGTTCACGTATCAGCCGGCTCTGTCTCGCCCCCCTTCCTTCTCTCTTATCGATTTAATGTCGTATAGCCGCTGTGTGAAGGCGGGGAAATCATATGCCCAGCTCGGCTAGTTGGCAGCGAAGAGATCGCATGAGTCACGTTCCCGTATTAGCGCAGTGGGTAACATGCTTGCCCGCTCAACGGGCAGGCGGTAGTCTAGGTTCGAATTTGGGGGGCAGCCGCAGTGTGTCTCATGCTGGAAGCCAGCCGTCTCAAGTTTTGCCTAACGGCCTAAGCCCCGGACCTACCGGCCTAAGTAACGGACGTAAGACATGAAAAATATTTATTTTGATAAACAGAGCCGCCGACCGATTCGCCAAACCAAACATCATGAAATGGGAATACGGCGGATATTGGCCACAAGCTCAAAACTGACACAACTAAAAACACCAGGATGAGGTACGACTTCACAAGCAGAGACGGCAGCTCAATAAGATTGCCAGTTGTATCTGGTCCTTCTGCCGCGAGGTTCGGTAATGTTCGCCGACTATGGGACGCTGGTTTCGAGAGTCATCGTCACTACAGCACACGGTATGAACATGAGAGAGGTAGGGCAGATCGAAAACGCGCACGCACCAAAGGACAGTAAGAGGCCTATTGAGTACGGCAAACGTACGTGCGTACCTAAGATAAATTTTATTCTCCCTCTTATTTTCACCAAATATAAAGTGTATCGATCTTTCGGTCGGTCTAAAGCCATTGTGCCCGAGTCGTTGCCCCATATGCTGTTGAGGAAAAAATATAAATGGGATTTGCCAATAAACGTAGATCGTGGACAGACATAGAAGCCTCGTTTGTTCAGCTCGAAGGAAAGTTCAATGCACAAGTGGCTTGGAAAGGTGACAAGTATCGTCAAAAGGGGAACGTAAGCACCCGGTTAAGTTGCATGATATCCTAGTAGTTCAAACTGGTGGGATGTCTTAACAGCGGTAACTTAACAGGTTAATAAACTCATCAGGTTTAATGGATCGAGGCTGTCACACATTCAAGCCTGCTCTTACAGAGGATTGTTCAACATATGTTAGCAATGTTCACTCATGTAGAAAACGTTCTCCCTTCTTTTTAAAAAAAATATTGTAGTGCGTATACCTTCTTAGAAGATATCTCTTGAAGCCGCCGGGATCAACTAGGTTAGCTTCAAATATCTTTTATTTTATTTTGGATTTGAACTTTGAACGTAAATTGATCTAAGTTCTTTTGCTACAAATAAGACGAATATGGCCCAACTGCACAATTTAAACCTAATCCCTCTTGTCACGAAATGAAACTTCTAGTAGATTGGTATGTCATACGATAGACGTTTGGTATTATCTCGTTTCTAGCGTTCAACCGGATGCGAACCGGCCCTCTGGTTTCGCAGAACAACACGCGTCCGTTTGGGCCGCTTCAACAACATTTGATGCACGAATGCGGCCTCTAACGCATGCGAGGAGTCGTGAGATTCCTGGAATTATCGTTTGCTCGTTAATTATCTCATAGAATCTTTTTGGTCAGCATAAGGTAGGATGCACTGGATAAATACGGCGTGGAAATCCTCTGCTTAGTACATATTTAATGACGTCGGGACAAGTAAGCCTAAACGAATTCGAAATAGTTCTTAAACAGCTAAAAGCATAAATTATTACGAGCGTCAACTGGTTTCAAAGAGCAAATTTCTTGGCGGGAGTGTAACGTATTATTTGGATCCTTTTTATACTGAATCTTGATTATACGTCTCGGTAACGGTGAACGTCATAAAAGATAAGCTATGACAATTCAGTACGATTACATTACATACAGATGTTGTAGTGGCTATAATAATTGGGACTTGTTAATTCTACCCTTGTGAGTTATAGTAACAATCTAACAAGGCTTAAAAAAGGCACGTCTATCGCTTAGGCTCTGGTTTCAGCTCCAACAGATTCTTAAATGCTTTATTCAAATATAATATTATGTTCTACAAGGACCTCATCGAGTAAAGTTAGGTCTTTGCAAGCATATCAATTACATAATACAACAACAAAAACGTTGTTCAGCCATTTTCTTGTTACATAAACATTCCACAAGTGCAAGACAAAGTTTATCACAGTCAACGCGACCTGTCAATACAAAAAGTGTCTTTTATAGTGGAACAAAGCGCACACAATTTTCAGTACGAAGAAATAATCTCCTCACGTTAGGCGATCGTGAAACTGAACAGTTCTCCGAAAACGAGCATTTAACCAAATCTATTTGCAAACCTGCTGCGCAGTTTAGGCAAACTAGCGTCGATGAAATATGTAACTCGATGTGTGTTTCGAAACTAATTTTCCTCTAACGTCACAGTATCTTTTATCTAAATATCGATTATTACCGCAACCAGAATCATGTTCTAACACACTATAAGAGGCAAGGCGACTTTATTCAGTTGAGTAGACAGAACCGGTCGATTTAGTAGTAAATATAATAGGTTTAGTCATCTTTTTTGCATCGTAGTGTTGTTAATTAATTGTCGAACGCAGCTTAGGCAACCTATTTTAGGACCTTGCTAAGCATAATGGCCTTTTTGACAAGGTGAAAAATATTTGTAAAATCCATCTTAATCCACCTTTGGCTTTGACAAAACGATAATATAAAAAAGATCACAATATAGCGAGAAAGTAACCAATCATTTGAAAGATGCAGTACCTCTAGTGCATCTAAATCCGCAATTCCGGTGACGAATGAAGTTATGTATGTTGTAGAATTTCCAAGTCGTATTTTCCATTGGATATTCTAGAAACGTCATATTTACCCTGCCGCATAGTTGTCAGTCACGCTGGTAACCGTAATTGTATTACTGAACAACAATAATTGCCACTGTGAAACAAACTACCATATCTGCGGGCACTGTAATGACGTTGAAATGAAGTTCAACACTGACAAATCGTTGTTGACATTTCTCAGGATAATCCGATCGTCGCTAAATATTCGTCTAAGACAGTTACTCATCTACACATACAATAGGAAAGTCTTTTTTTGTGCAGCAAAAATTGCGATTTTTTAGAGCAATGTTCTCTCACGGTACATAATACTTAAAATGTAACTATTCTTTTACGATGAGTGAAAAGCCTTGAGTGAAACTGCTTGAGTAAACAAGCCGTAGAATTTTAGTAGACGCGCTTGCCTCAGGAACCGTCGCACAGCCCACAGTTTCTCGACTTTCGAACCATGCCTCAACAAGGTCCCAGTCACGACGTAGTTAAAATATTATTTAGGTATATGAGTCTCTCTGTTTCGAGTCTTACGTCCGGTACCATCGTTAGGCACTCTATCAGGCAGACGGCTGGCTGACTCCCAGCATGAAAAGAAGTGTGTTCATGTCTCGTTTGAACCTAAACCGCAACGTGTGCTTAAATTTACCAGTATAAGAGCCAATAAAACAGAACTCAATTTGCAAAATTGTATGTGCTTCTTTAGATATCTTAAGTTTACGAAGTCGTATCAAATACAAAAGGGAACATCTAGATATCAACATTTGTATAGCTTTAGGGATTCCTCGTTGAAAATTCTAAATTTATATAACAAAGTAAATTTCCTCTTTGGTGCATATTTATCAACGCTAATATATGTATACGTATATATGAATTTTTTCATACTGCGTACGGCTATGTTGTCTAAAACGTGTCAGTACCGTAATGCTACAACCTAAAACTTTCCCAAGTAGGTACTGTTTAATTTAGCCGGGACAATGCTTGACAAGAGAGGCAATAATAAGACGTTCTCATTGCTTTATTCTTTCGATGCAAACATTAGGCTTGTTTAATGTCACGGCCGATATCACAACGCTTCTACTATTCCACATTATTATTTGTTCCGATCATTGCTGCTATCTGTACTTACGTCCCCGAAAATTTGTACGACTGGGTATACATCTACAATGTGTTAGACACAATGCAGTTGTATGCATTCTTGCGAATTATACAATTGTGTTGTAGGAAGCCCTCTTTTTCCCAGCACACACAATCACCTCCGTATGTACACGACGCGACCCACGTTTACCGGGCATCAATAGGCATCTAGTATATCTCTATTCAGGTCAGGGCAAGATAGAATTTGGAACAACGATAATGATTTTCGGTAGTTTTGCAAGGACTATGGTCAGAATCACACCATCATGATTCACTATGAAGCGTATTACCTTCGTGCTGTTACGATATAACGATTTTACTACAACAATGTGTTTATGTATGCTTACATACAAACAGCTGCGATACGAAGTTATTTTCGAAGAGTTCATCACCACTCAGGTGGTTCAGTTAAAAAGCGCCCATTGCGGAACTAAAATACTATTGGGGGTATTATTCCTGCCTAAACATTTATAAAATAAGTTTATTATATTTATTATTAAAGGCCACTAGATTCAAGAAAAAAAAAAAAAACTCTTTTATGGCTCATTCTAGGCCATTAAGGTAAAACACGGCCAGGCTTCATATTTCAAACCTGTAATGGTTCAGAAAGCGTGTATTCCTGCGAAATTTAGAAACCAGGGGTAACCCAGGTCTCAATCCGGATATAAATGCACCTCGTTTCCTACTGAAGCTAGTCATCTGAAGCACTATCGGATGCAATGCTCGAAACAGTCACCAGGGCTTACAACGCATTTCGCGTTTTCATTGGTTCATAGAATAGCACATATAGCAGCGAACTGCAGTTCTGCAAAATGGCTATTCGAGATACCGAGCTCCTTAAAAATCATTACGTTAAACGTATACGTTGCAAGTAAAATCAGACCTCTCAGAGAACCGGTGTACAACTAGCAAGAATTTTTCCTCATTAAGATCAGCTTATGTGTAAGGTCTGCTTAGCACGACCGTTAGCGTGCAGAAAAATGACCAATATAAGGGTCAAGTTTACCGCTTGCATTGAGAATGACTTATTTTCGACGCCTGACCCTCCAGTAATTTCCCTAAACAGATGTAAGCAATAGGTCAACAGAGTATGAAACTTAAATCATGCAGTGTTATGCAGCCCATCAATTCATTTCTTACGCAGATCTCTAAGAAAGAGCTATCGCTTACACACCAACTCTATTGCAATACATCGTTCATGCACACGTCGCTCACTATCACAGCCTGAGTCCGGTTTATTACTGACTTTTATTAAACGTATTATTATTATATAGTTATTAATTTACCATTAGTTAACTCTACGAAGTTAATTACATTAACTTCTGAAGTGAGGCAATAAATGACTCCATAATGCGGTTGCGTTTTCATAACGGGGAATGTGGATGCGTTTGCTCACAGTCGGCGTATCACCTATAGCGCAATACAGAATATTTAAACGGCTGAATGAACTGCTGTGTCCTTCTGCGGCAGGACACGGAAAAGCGAGATCTATAATAAATGTGTTTGACTCTTTGATGCAGTTATCAAGCGGCCTTGAAGTATGGTTGAATTAGGCTTTAATCCTTTACCCCAGCCGATGCCAAGCATCCAACAATCGCAGAGCTTCATTTATTCTGAACCAATTTGTAAAATACCAGCCACTTCCTTTAAATATGATCCCGATAACAGATCTTAAAGAAAGAAAACATTCAAATACTTTAATTTTTTTGCTATAATCTTCTACTAAATATGAAAAGTCGATTTGATGCAGCTTTCTGTAGTCGGGTGCGAAAACATTTTTGAGCGAATCTTTAAATAAGCGAACCCGAAAAGGGCGCCTTAATTGACGTTACATGTATTAATATGGACTGTGATGTCTAGGTTGTGCTTTACCCAGGCGCCCACCACCCGCACTTAAGGCCGTAAGTACATATGTCTTCGCCAAGGTAATAATCGCTAATACGCTGCATATTATTTTTTTACCGACTACCGAGGAATCTCACGTTTTTGAACAAAGAAAAGCTGAAAAACCTACAAAAATCTATATTCTGCGTATTTGTTACATAAATGTTGTATTGCGAAACCTTACTTAGTTGCTGTTATTAGTAACGTTGATGTAACTTAAACCTGATTCATTCGTGATACTCTTAAACAAGGAGCTGGATTATTTCGGAGTGAAATGTACGAGTCCCACATTATGTTCAGTCATGTCAGATCGGATTTGGGTTTTCGTTTTTGTTTCAGACATCTGCTTGCTGAGCGTTGGCTGTAAATTCAGAATCCTCCTTACAGCAAACAAACTTGTGAGAAATTGTCAATATGAAATACACTAGTAACGCCATTACTCAACGCTCTTCAAATATCCACATCTCATATAATAATTAGAGCGTCTACGACCAGCATAGCCAGCATCTATCAAACACATTAGCCGAGTAAAACCGAATGTCGGCAGACCCGATCTACTTACCTCATATATACATGTTACCCAATACCCTACCACCCAATGAACTATCCAAGCTAAGCTTCTATTCCGGAGAGAGCCGACTAAATCCTGACCCGGTTCAGTCTGGTGATATTCTCTTCTCGCTCCGATTTGCTAGACCCTTTCTCCGATGTTGTTGACAACGGTCGCGATAACATTAGTCACAACTGCCGCCTCGGTTTGCCCACCGCCGCTTGCAGCCGTTCGCCTTGGCTGGCGCCCTTTCAGCATTTAGCGAGCAGCGGGAAAGGCGACGTCGTCTTCTTCCTTGATGGCGTGGACTCGTCGGGGGTTGAGTTCCGTATTGAGTCTCTATGGTAGCAGCAGCAACAGTATCAGCAGAACCAAAATCAGCCACAGCATCGACAACAGCAGCAGCCGCTGCAGCAGCAGCAGCAGCACGAAGAAGGAAAACTACGTTAACAACAACAACACACACAGCAGCATCAGCAGTTGGTGGCGTAGAGACGGCGGATTTCACCGTAGGATAATCAGCAGCAGCAGCAGCAGCAGCAAGCGCACATCGACGAAAAGGACCAACACGATCGCTAATCGTAGTACCAGTGGGCGCTGGGTAGTCGCGGCCGTCACTACCGTCTAGGCTCCTCTCTGTTATTCTTATTATTGTTACTATTGTTAGGTTACGTCGTCCTGGCGTTTGTTTTCTGTCGCTGCTGTCTTGCTTACTGCTCGACAGCCTTCGGGGTGTCCGGCTAGCTGTGTGCCTGCCGTTCCACTACTGACTCTGTGGGGCTGAGGTGATCACCAGTTCGTTCGCGTTGACTGATGTCTGTTGCGTTCGTAATGATAGTTGTTCGTGGATCGGCAGTAGTGGGTTTCCTTCATTGAGTCGTTAATTCATTTTCGCTCTCCGTCGTCTTGTCACGTGTTATTGCCGAGGAAGGACGTCGACGTCAAGCGAGTATCGCTCGTTAAGCGGGCGAACCGAGACAACAACAGCAACACGTCGAGCGGCAGCAGTAGGGGCGCTCAGCCCCGTCCATTTCGCGGCAGTAGCGGCGGTGGCCTTCCCCTTTATTTTCTCTCTCCATTTTCCCTGTGCTCTTACCGTTCTCAAGAACTGTGCTATGACTGTGCCTGCTTCTTACCTGCCATCACGATGGTACGGATATCTGTCTGTGCTGCTGCTGCTGCGATGGTTCTCAATGTCATCGAGGCGGTGAACCGCCGTCAGATCGTATGCTGGTCGCAACAGTGTAACGCAAATTAGCAGCCACAACAGTCGGCGTAAATCAGCTGTCGCTCCCACGACGACCCATTCACCCGGTCGCTATTTGCTGTCTCCCACAGAAACAGCAACAAATCTACCACTTAGCGAGTCAGTAAATCTTCGTTTGTGACGAGTTGTGTGTGTGTGTGTGAATGTTTGTGTGCGTGAGGGCGTGTATGTGCGTGTGTGTGTGTCTAGGCGCTCTCCCCTTGTGCTGGGTTATTGTTATTGTTGTTGCGAACGGAGGTGGAGTAAATCTCATGGTGAGCACAATATCGACGTCAACAACAAACGCCTTGACGTTTCACCGTACTCGTTATTACTGTTGCTGTTGTTCTTATTTGTGCTGGCGTTACTTTCCGTGTACAAAGTAAGTAATTCTATTTTCGCTGTTGTATCCTAATAACTGGCATTCTGGTTGGCTGGCTGGTCCGGCCAAACCTACTAGCGCTGTTCCCTATGGCTGCCGCTCGTGAGGAGCTTCGTGTCGCCGTCATCGCGTTGCTAGTGAGCGTGACGATGTAAATGCGAGAGTAGATGAACGAGTTGACGATACAAACAGTGAAAAGGTAAGGCGGGTCGACTCGATTCAACTCTACTCGATCCGCCTGGCCGCCGTCCACTTATTCGGTGTGAAGGTGATGCTGTATAGCAGACTGGGTTGCCTTACCGACTTGTTGTTTCGCCGGTTAATTAAAGCCAAAATTAGGTGATTGGAACTGGTTGCAACCGCTCACAGCCACTGCGATATGAACAGAAATCGCCATAGAGGACAGCAACAACAGAAGTAGCAGTAATCGTTAGCGTCAGCAACAACAGCAGCAGCAAGAAAACCGCCTGTGTTCAGGTGTCAGCAGTCAGTCGATTCGTGACTGCTGGGGCAATCGTGTGGCGTTCTGCTCTTCAGATAGCAGGGGCATCGAACGCTGTGTACAGTGCAGTCGAAGGGCTTGTGCGTCTCGATCCGAGCTACTAACTAACCTCGAAAACAAGCGACAAATCAAAATACGCATATTAGCCCCCCCTCCTATTTTGCTCCTTCTGCTGCCCTTCCCCTTGCCCTGCAATGCTTACTACTACTTCTGTATATGCATTGTAGGGGAGAGAAGTGGCCTTAAGTGGTAGAAACAAGAGTATCTTTTTTAGTGTGTGCGTACACTGCGACAGCCGCAACAACACAGTGCCTGTGTTGCGATGAAGTCAATGAGCTCCGAGCCTTCACTCGTGAGAATGACGTGAAGCGATCTTTTCTACGATAGTAATAATAATCATCGAAATCATATCTATTCCGTGGTCGTGAAGTGCCGATGCCGACCCAGCGGGGCGGGGTGTCCCTGTGTTATGATTACTAATATTATTGTGACTTGTTTGATTGCCACAAAAACAACTGCTAGGAATGGGGTATTGAAATCAGTGTCGAGTGTACCGTGTCGATCTTTTTTTACCGTTACTTTAATGTTAAATTGCTATCATCATCGTCATAATCATCACTACCTGACGGCGTTAGAAATGTGCGGCAAAGTTCGATTGGAAATGTGCTGTGATGTGTGAAGTTTTGCAGTGCTGGTGTCAGTAATCATAATAAAGGACGAAAGGATACCTACTAGGACCATCACTACGTCTATTAATACTTCTACATTTTTCGTGTATCGTCGGAAAACGAACAGCAACGGCGGCAACCGCAGCAGCAGGAAACAAACAATAACAAACCGTCCGCTTGGCTGATGGGCTGGCCCTTGGCTAACGTTGGGGGTAGACAGACGCAGTTGTTGGCTACACTCAACGTGCATAAAGTAGAAGAAAATACCGTGATAGCTCTGACGGTAGCCGAAGCTTTACACAGGTTTCCGGAGCGTCGCTGTTTAAATACGAAGAATACTGGAAAAACCCAAGGCTGCTGACTAGTGACAAGCCGGTGACTCCGGAAGCGCAGCCTGAACCTTGAGAAAGACGGAGTCGACGACCGGCGTGCAGAGCCGTAGTAAGACTTTTCGAGGAACAGAATTTGCTGGAACCCAGGTCGTTCTCAACGTATGCTCGACGAGGGCTCTACTAAGAACGCCGGCGCGTTCGGGGCGTCGCCTCAGGCCATAGGATCCGGCCCATGATAGACCGGCTCCGATCATCGGGCTGAACAGACGGCCCTTACCGGCCGCCAAATTGCCGAGCTGGCTGAACACACAGCGCACGGCGACTACGCACTGGTGCAGTCGTCACTTGTGACTGCTGCAGCGATAATAACAATAAAAAGAAATAATATTCGCATTATTAATGACAACAAAAATAGTGACAGGAATCAAGGGGTTAGCAGTATTGCTGGGGCGCCACGACTGCTAATAGCATCGTCATCATCATTGTTAGCAGCAGGAGCATCAGATAGAAACAACGCGCCAGCAGAGAAAAGTAGACACCAAAAGCTGGCAGTGCTACCGTCTACGTTCGATTCGCTACTGGCACAGCCCATCGAGACCCTATCTCCCCCACAGGCGCAAGCATGCACTTCGGGAGCATGTCTATACTACAATGGACTTTATACGGTTTCGCCATTGTGTTTCTGGCGGGCTGGGTGTTCGTGTGGACGATACACATCCTTGCTATCATCAACGGGTTAGTATGAAATTCTATATAAGACGACATGTGATTCGCAGGAGTGGAAAAACATACTCGTTAAGCATGCGGTGATTCTTACGGTCTGAATGGATGGGGCTATATAGTTCGCGGTCATATCGTTAAGTGTTGTTACTAGTCGTACGCGGTCGTTTTCGCGCCCATGCAGCGAAAAAGAGCCATTAGTCACTATTGCGTTTTTTAATGGGCCACCGGCTATGGTTTCCAGTGGGAGTGTTAAGAGCTCATTGGTAACGACGACACGAATGCGTCAACGTACGGATAATCTGTTCGGCCTGTCGTAACTTATCTTGGCTTCGTCGTGGCTAATAAAATCGCATGACTTAAACCTAGTATAAGTCAGAGTTTACGGGTCAATAAAGCTTCATTACGGTTATTTTTTAGTGCTTTTTGCGCTAGTTAACCTAAGCAACTCAAAACATCAGAACGCTCGTTAGTAAATCAGCAATTTGTTATTCGATAGATTGGTCCATGTAACGTGAGGTGCGTATCTCGTGACAAATATTTCGCCAAGGCGGGAAAATTGTAAGGAAACTACATACGGAGAGAACTATTTTTCTATCTAACTATTACGAGTCAGTGGTCGGTGCCCGTTGTGTTTTACGGAGATAACCCACAAAACCTGAAACGAGTGACTACAATGTTCAGTATAGGCAGAAAGGAAACCTTCAGGCAACACTATATGCGGAGATAGAAGAGTCGCATTTCTCTACGAAGACGAAGGGCAAATTAATCCGATAGAATGCTTGGAACGAGTGCAATAAACAAACTAGTACAGATGGCATTAATCCAAGAACTCGAAGAGATCAGTGATTTTTATGCAGTACCCATCACAGCGAAGTATGCAGCAAGCTGAACACATTAGAGGAGAGCATTTTGAGAACCTACTATAAGATTAAGCTTGTGCCTAAACCGTTTCTTGTACAGAAGCCCACCGACAATAAAAAAGGTATTCTGTGCAGAAAAATTTGAGATATAGACTTTGAAAAAACCTAACAATAAGATTCCCGAGGAGAAGCCGACAAAGTTGACGCCTGAGGGACTCGTTGATTAAAGAGCTGTTGATAATAACGTCAGCAACCTTCAATCATTACGAAACGGCCAAAGCTTGAATCAGCCATCAGTGACACAATAATTAGGCTTGACTTCATGCCGAGTTGGTTTAACGATGGCTTACGGTGACTTTATTGGTAATGCAGATAGCGGCTAAGCACTGAAGCAATAGAAGTACTATCTAAGCTAGTCGTACCATCAGCAACGTCATCCTTGATCACCATTACTACGTTAAAATGCCATTCGAGGTTTGCATAGGCCAGCCAATTCGATATTAGCGTCTCTACAAAATTAGAGGCCAGCATATATCGAATTATCGGGCTGAGTCAAATGTAATTGCGAACACGAAGCTAATTTGACATAGTGAAGCCCACGGAAAATCCTACGTGGATAAAAGCGAACGGAAGAACATCCCCAAGGAAACACACAGTTTTCTGTTTATTTCTGAGTAAATGTTTGACTCGATATAGGGTAACCCTATCAACATCGTAATTGTCTTGTGTCCAGATTCAGATTTGGGAGATGTCGATGGTTCGTCATTGACCAGAAGGATACTGGGGTAAGGGCGAGGAAGACCTGAAGATTTTTGACCATGCCGTTCCTCTCTCTCTAATCCTATCATATAGAATGCATCGGCATAGATGCAAAAGGCGTGCAGTTAAGGAAGTGCGATACGGGGATGTAAAGACAAAGAATAAGAGGCCGAGCAAACAGCCAAAAAGATCAATTTCTGCCTTGCCTTTTTATTACCACTCGATAGTATCTTAGTAGTTATTTAGTCGTCTCAAAATGGCGCGCCAATGGCCGTTCTTTTTTTTCGTTATAGCTAAGGTCTCGTAAGTAAGTCGCTTCGATTATTTTTGTGGCATATGGCCAGGAAGTATAATCTTACAGGAAACAAATCTAGAAAAAAAAACGGATTATAACTATAAATTGCAAAAAGAAAATGAGTTGATAAGATCAGCAGCTGTGTTGCAAATAAGGCCTTCTAAGAATATGTCCTACGAGAGCCGGTGTGCCAACGAGTGCACAGTACACTTCTTCGAGTTGCGAAAGTGCAACACATAAATAATATAACACCTATTTTTCTACACAATTTAATAATTTTCTACAATAAATTTCTAAACAATTCACCATCTCTAGCGTGGCAATGCCGATTTGTGTCCTGATTTAAAATTCAGATAAATATTAACAAGCTCAAATGGACGTTTTATAATGGCGCTTATGCGAAGGTGCGTCTGAAATACTTTCAAAGTATCTTCGAGTGCTTATTTCGCCTTCGGAGTCACATCTTGAACAGTCGATTGTATATCAGGTTCCGTAGCCAGTCATGTTGGCGGCATCGAGCTATCAATTACCCAAATACGCCGCCGACTGCTAGTTTATTCTCGGCCCGCACCTTGGCATCTTTATTCTTTGAATGATATACTTTCACACTTGTCCTATAGCGGCACAGCAAAAAAAAGGGCGCTCCTCATTATTGCCAATTGATCATAGTGACTGCGATGTCTACACGTTTCCTTGAAAATTTTCCTCTCCTACGACATGAAGTTACACCGTCCCGGATGATTTACTAGTAAACACGATTTTAATCGAGGCTAAATAGTTGCGCGGCAATTTCAAAACTATCATAGCAAGGATCCAGTACGTACGCACCAAATGGTTAAATAAATGAATAAATTACCGTATTAGCTACTACTGATGGCTGATTTTCATGGAAAACCAAAGGAAACCACAAGACGAGTGAGCGGCCAGTTTGATTTTTCATTTAGCCGCTCATAATAACTATGTAACGCAACGTCCACTTGGTCCGCCCGCAGAAGGCGTTCGGCCATAAGTTTTGATCGTCTGTGTGGATCCGTTTTCGTTGCGAGAAGCCTTGCGATTCAACATGCGCACTAAATGACACGGGTGGGTATGCCACGAAATAGCCATTAGGGCAGTAATATCATAGATGTTGTTCGCTCCGCGCGTCAGTCATTTCCTGGATGTCCACAAACGCAAGAGCGAAATTAGGTTATTGATATTGTAATCAATGCTTGACTACGTTAGTTAGCGGGCCGTCTTCTAGCTATGTCTCGCACTTCTACCCGTGCGATATCTAAGATAGCTCTACGTTATAGTATGGTTTTCGATGCAGGTTTTATTGTACACTGGCAAGGTAGGAGAACTCTGTCTTTTGTGCCACTCATTTTAGAACGACCGACCGACCGACCGACCGACCGACCATTATCTGAGCGCATATAAATTAGTAACGGATAGACGAACACGGATGACAAACTCGGTTAACATTAAGTCTATGAAATCAATTGAACAGAAGAATTTGCGTAGACATTAGCTAGCCACGTGTCTACACCATCAGAAATGTGAAAGTACTTCAACTCTCAATAATCTAGGTATGTTGTTTGTTTTGCATGTGTCATTATTCGTTGCGTACGATCTTTTTCAATGGCGATAGTGGTGAGTCAAAGCATTTGCGCCGTGCGAATTACCGATCAGGTTAGCGGCCATAACACATATCATATAGAAATGGAATTGCGGAAGATTAAACGAGCCGCCACGAAGTTTGCTTCGAGAAAATGGAACACCTGCATGAGAATTAGAAGACGATCTAGATTACAGAAAATATATTGAAGAATACGCAAACGGGCATTTTTCTTGTCCGGTGCCACTGTGTTTGGCAATTGTTTGCGCCAATAACCCGAATCAGCAGTTACTTCACATTAGGAACGATGATTAAACTGCCCCGACACGGAAACGAGCCGCGGAACTAGAGACGACATCGCTTTACCAAGCCATTGCTGACCTAACAGTGAATTTCAAAGCGGCCACAGTTTTATATACCCGACCATTACTGGTATTATGGATAATTACTTGCCGAATCCACTCCACGTTTATCCTCGTAAGCTGTTAATCCGCTCGACGTAACCCATGGGCCCCTTGATGACGGTGTAGCGCCCTTTCTATTTGGTCGAAGTAGTATAGCCCGTTAATGGCCAGAGCAGTTACGGTCGATAGTCTCTTTGATATCGAATATTGTCGATTCCGTACACCTATTGAACGTTGTGTAAATAAATCTAATCTACCTGTTCTGTCCATGGGCTCGGTCGCCACGGCAAACAATTACGCGTCGCTGGCTTGAGCAGGTCTACAAAGGTATATGCGTTAACTATTAAAGAGGCATCAATGTTCGTAAAACAAAGCGATAATTTGGTAATTTTTTTAGGCTGCCTTCTAATATAGGGGCGTGCATATATACAGTTGAACGGAGAACGACGTATCGCGAACGCTGTTCACCGAAGAACGATAGTGTGGGAAATTCTTCCGTCCCCCTTAAATGCTACGAGTACATATGTTTACCAGTATCATAGACAAAATGATTTTGCAGCACGCATTCAGTATTATATCTAACCGCATCGAATTCATAGGTTTTGTAGAAACATGGTCCCTACGTGTCCTACATTAAGATTTATCTCTGCCGGACCACCCACTCGAATTTTTTCACTTCAATGATTGCCTAATACGGTTTCAGCCCTGGCGTTGGCTGGGACATATGAATCCTCGTTTATCGATTTTCTACAACCGACCCAGTGGAGTTTGCATGCTGTAGTTAACGCACTGCATGTTTTGCGACGACTGCGCGACCTTTGAACGTTGGCTACGTATTTGCGTCCTGCACGTCCATGGCCAAAACTAAGGAAGACCTCGAGCTTTGGACAAAGCGTCCTAAATCACAAGGTTCTCGACGTTGCTTATCTCAGCTACAAACTAGATTAATCTGACCGTACGGAATACGGTGTTTTATTATACGATTGCATTATACGATGCTGGGCTCAGAATCGAATTTAATGATCCTTAGAAGCGGATACGACGATCACGGAACTCAAACAGCGAAAAATTCTGCATTGAGGAAATCACGCATGGCT